TGGCGGTCTTCGCGGCGATTGTGAGCTGCTTTTCGAAATGTCGGTGTTTATTCCTTTTTGCACTGTTGCAGAGATTCCCCTGACTTTTATACCCTTCGTAGTCATTGGCAGAACCAGAGAGGTGGAATCTGTCCCACAGTCTGCGCTGCCTCCGAGCCAGATTTTCATACTCCTTGTGGAACCAGTGAGGCTTAATCGGTCCAACCTTCCGACATTTCAAGGACACAACTTGGGAACACAATGGTGTCAATCTCTCTTTTACAAATATCTAACAGTCTTTCACAGATGCAGCTTGTGACAGAGACCAATCCAGGCGGCTCGCGGCTCGAGCTAGACCATTGAAGTCCGTTTTCCAGTAGTTGTAAGCTGGTTCCAGCGGACGTGAATACGACAAAGGTAATTCCATATCAGTTATAAGCACTGAGTGTTCGCTTGTAGTCAGGGGCTCCAGGATCCGAACGTCACGTACTCGTTGTTCGTAGCTCGTTAACATTAGGTCGAAACAGGACGGGGTTGCGTGGTGTTATGCGTGTTGGCTGGCATATGTGATGCGATGCACCAGTTTCCAGTACCAACTCCACGAATTTCGCTTCAACCTCACCATGTCCAGGCATCAAATGTACATCAGGCCATCGTATTCGAGGACAGTTAAAATCGCCCATAAGTAGAAAGTGTGGACGGCTCATGTGGGTTCGAAGATGGGATAGCCACTCTAAACAACGACTCAGGGGGCTGCGATAGACTGCGCCTGCAGGTAGTTCTCCACGCCTGAGGCGGATTTAGCACCACCGTAGCTCACACAAACCATCGTCACTTCGGTGGGTGCTCACAAGTCGCCCACGCAGGGAAGACCGGATGTAAAGTAAGACACCACCGCGGGCATTCGTTAGTCTATCGCATCAGAAGCACGAGTAACCGTTGAGTTCAAGTTCCTGGGTGTATAACTCTGAATGCAGCCATGCCTCTGCGATTCACACTGCGTCTGGCCTCAGACGCAACAAAACAACAAAGCTCATCGCGCTTTTTCATAACACTGCAAACGTTGGTGAAGGCTACTCGCAGGCCGCATCAGGAGCCGCCGGGCGTGCTTGAAGTGTGAGCAGCCTGTTTATCCTAATTCACCGATTCTTGGAAACCACCCGAAAATTTACGATACAAAGATTTGTTTCCCCTCATCAGTACGTCTTTTCAGCTCAATGATGGCAGACTTGAGCCGCTCCCTGTCTACTGGGTCCATGTCTGGACGAACATGGATCTAAAAATCTTTCAGCCTACTTAGGCGGGGCACGATCAGTCTTGGACTAGCTTCGTCCACAAAAGTGATTCTCATAGGCTGATTTTGTTGATCACCTTGCTTTCCAAGACGGGTAATTTGCCTCACTTTTACCGAGTCCTCACCAGCGTCGAGGAGTCTGTCAATTAGACATCTCTGAAAATACCATGCGTATTACTGCAGTGATTAACATTGGAAAGCGAATCATCGAGTAGTTGTTTACTGACACTGCACGATTGCTTCGCTTGTACATGAGCATGGCTGTTCCTTGTTTCCACCTGGTTGGAGCAGATGTCTCGTCGAGATAGCGTTGGAAAAATCGAGATTACGGTTCGACCAAGCTCCTGATATCCATCTCTAATGATTTTGGGCACATGTTATGTTTACCAAGGAATCTATGCTCTCGCAAAGAGAGTCTTTTTAACGCATCTACAACCGTGAAGGGGATGTGAATAACCTTGCTGGAATGTCATGTGTGAGAAAAATATGAGACAGCGGTGCGCTCTAAAAGGTTAGAGGGAATAGTTGTAAAAGTATGTTATACTCTTCATACAGTTTGCGCTCACTCCTCCGCGGCGCATGGACTTTGCCTTTTTCGATCTGAGAAGCTTAGATTCTAATGCTCTTGTCACCAGATTGCTGAGCTGGTTGACGAATTACCCCGATCAGACGGCTTTTCAACGAGAAACGATCAACTGCTGGCGTCGATGAAGTAGATGAGTTGCTGTGATGTGTCACAGTACAACATAAATGTCCTGGTTGAGGTGCTGCTCGCAACGGATATAGTGGCACAGCAACGTCACACGATTGCTGCCACCCAAAGGATTGCTCACCATCACTCTCTTTTCCTGTGTCGCACCAACCACAAATGAATGTTTGCATTTCGATGTATGTCCATTGACCATTGTGAGTTGTTCTAACTAATGTTCGTTACGATACCACACTACTTGTTAGTAGAACACCACAGATTATAAATCCTCTGTTTTAACCGGAGTAACAGGCTCGTTGAAGTGGGGAGAACTAATCCATCAGTTTTTGTACTCTCACTGACTGAACTGACTTTCATTTGATTCAAAGTGCACCACGGTTCTGCTCGAAGTTGCGATAGTTATTCTAAGCAGGACAACTGCTTGTACCTTTGAAATAAGCATTTCCCTTCATCGTTCCACGCTAGGTAATTAGAAGACGTGTCTACTTAATAATCATAAAAGTACAACCACTAATAGATATCTTTAACTGGTACCAATTGACGCACTCCGCGCTACCCCCCGGTAAGTCCAGCTGTACAGTCAGATGTTTGTGTCACACAGCATTGGCCACTCTCGATCGATGGCAGTAGTTTACAGTATCATTAGAATGTGGGGCCGCTAATTTCGTAGCAGGGCAGTATATGACTCATCGGGATTGACTCGGTTGCCGGTCCTCAGTAAGTGCCTTGTGATTGCTGAGAGCTCGGTTTCTCGATTCGCCTGATTTCGTTGTCACTGATCCCAACCGGCTGTCTAGCCATTTGGAAGTGTATTTTTTGATTCGATCACCTTATCTCCAATGATTGGGCCCAAGAGCTATGGAGACAGATCTACAGGAATTCATCTAAGCCATGGGACCTTCACTGCCTCCTTATTGGTGACCTAATCGAACACATAAGCGAAGGTCTCGTTGACGTGAGCTGCCATAGTTCAGCTGCATTGTACATCTTATTCACTGAAACACCAATCCACTCCACGATGGTTTTCATAATCTAATCACATTCGATTGTCAACTTAATTAATACCGACTCCATTTTCGACTATCGGTGCGATCTCGCTTGGACTTGTCACTAAGGTACTTATAAACCGATCATGAGCCACCACTATTGTGTGTGCAGAGACAGCTGACTATACGTGTGAACCTACCAGGGTACCGCCAAGCATCCCGATAGGCCATTTATCTATTTCACATACACGCGGTTTTGATATGCCTACATGTTTGCGATTGATAAGCTTACACGAAGTAATCGAGTCAACTCATCACTAACTTGTACCTTACTGTTGCAGTCCACGTGCCGTGAGACTCGAAGTCTATGGATATAGGCGTTGGGCGGTAATCGCTGCACCCAGGGCTTCTGTCGCGGTTCTGCCCTCTTCCCTACTCTTACAATGGAACGAAACCGTTCGTTGAACCAGTGACATCTAGCATTCACCAGTTAAGCGATGGACTATTTGCTCTAGTTCTGTAGTGTTGTGCTATAGCCGCCTACTTAGTGTACTATCGCGCCGCCCATGCACCGTGAATATTCTTCTGAGATTATTGATGTCATATCATCACTCTTCCCCTGGCCAGAGCATGTGAGTGGTGGTCGAATGTGTTACCTACTGATGTCCGTGTGTCTTTTATGTGCCTCACTTACCGTGGGGCCAATTCCATCCGAAATGCTGTGCGATGTTGTTCTTGTCATCACAGCTTATTGATACGCTTTTGACTACCACCTTGCTTCCTTGTACAACCTTGATAAACTCTGTCTGTTGCACACCTCAGTTACTCTGCGAAATATACCCGTGAACGCACACGAAATCCAACTGCTCATTTTGTGGACTTCTTTCACACTGTTTCCCTTCTACAAGCATTCACTTTTAAACATCCTTGCTAGAATCAATTTGTTTGCTTTATTGCATTACTGCAGCACCAGCGGAATGGGTTCTGCCTCACGGTAGTGTGCACACCTCATGCACGCGTTTCCAATTTCGTATCTTTAAAACAGCGTAGGAATTTAATGTCCAACCCGTAGCCTTAAGGATCACAAGCCTGCCTTGCGACCCCAGGACGCGGGTTCGAGCCTGCATAGGGCCCGGAAGACCTTAGCCCATGTGCGGCCGGTGGTAGATGCCCGGCAACGAAGCGTCTGTACCACGTCCCGGCGTACTGCTGATGCCTTTTTACTTTTAACATCTTGTCACTCTAACATATGACTCAAAGACACTGGAATCCAAAGTGGTTTCTGTTTACAAGACGTTAGAAGTGCATGTAGCTTATGCCCTTTCATGAAAACCCTTTCCGTATTTCACTGCCCTTCTAACGTGTTGCGATGCTAGAAAATTACTTAAACGGACGCAAACATTCTTTGTTCGTCTCGGCCGAAACATTTACAATCAAACTACCGCATTTTGAATTGTGTAACTACACTTCACTTGCGTATGCTCTCCCTTTAATTCGATTTCATTAGTTCTTCTTAACACCGAATTTTAAACTCCGCTGGTATAGGGTTCGTTTAGTATCGCTGAACTGATCGTAGTTTCTAGTAGTGACCTTACTAATCCCTTACTAGGTAATCAAAGTCGGACCAGGAATACCTCAATTTATCTGTATGCTCCTGCCTTTTATTTTGTTCGCCTGATGAGAATAGTCGTTGAAATTTCTTCGCAATTTGTATGTTGTTCCCCATTTGTATTTTTCCCGGCATTGCGCGCGCACTCTGTTTTTGAAACGGACAGCGGCCTTTTGCATAATCCCATTGAGATCGGTTTACTCCTCTCCGTTTGCGTCTTTTTGGATCCCTCCTTCCACTATCAACAACGTTCTACACCAGCGTTTGTGGTTCATGATTTCCCGCTTCACTGTTGAACGTCGCTCTCCTGCATTCGCTTTTAATTATCCTTTGTGCAATTTTTCGAATGCTCTCCGCTTTTCCCCTCTTTTGAGCTTTCCAGTCCTTTTCACGCACTTTTTTCTCTGCCTCCATTTTCAACAGGAATTACGCTTGGCATTTTTCTCCAAAGATACACAAGACCCCCTGGCAGTTCATCAAATCTACGCTTTTTATGAATGCACCTCAGGGTCTCGCTCTTGCTCTGCTAATCACTGCTGTTTTCAAGGGTTATGAACAGTATAGCCAGTCTGCTTCACATAACTCGCACGACTAGAGCGTTGCGCTCAAAATGTAGAGAAATGGTGATTCCATCGCTGTTTAGCTGTGTTACCGATTACACATCTACCGCTTTTTCTTGTTGTTCTTTCTTTAAATGCGGCATCGTACGGCATCTCATTGCACTATGACTGTACTTGATTGAAAATCTGTTTTATCGGCCGTGGTCGACCACAGGATAATGTCCAGATGACTTTTCTCCCTTACACACTTCCTTTTCCACCGCGATTGCCAACACTTGACTCTTACAATACAATAAATTGCTTTTGTTCGCTCGCCTATACGACATACATTATTGATCTAAACGCCGTCTAAACTGGGTTTTAAACGTGGTGACCTATGCTGCGCGGCTCTTAAACTGATTACGTAGATGCCGTTGAACTTGGGAACAGAAATCTCGGAGGGATGGGATTTCTCGGTTTTTCATGTTGACCGTTGCATTCAGAGCGATCCTAGTTTCGTAAACATGATCAAAACTCTTGGACTCCTTGTGGTCCCTATGATTTGTGATTGCGCTTTTCGAAAACCAACTACAGTTTCGAATGCTGCTGATTCACTCCTTCAAAGGTACCATGACATTTCCCACTTCGTTTGTTTACTACGTGTACAGAAAATGCCAACTTCATATTCATTAGCATGGATCAGTGGAGGCGGAATCAGAGTAAAGAATTGTTTTCGGTAATTCTCATCAGACTCAAACATAACATGATGAGGAGAAAGTGCTAAATGTGCCGGATTGGGCTGCGTATTGAACAGAATGTTTAATTTCACGGGTACAAATCAATAAATCACGGGGTCATTGGAAGTGGCAAGTATGTACAGAGGAAATCATAGCCGAAGTTGTAGGCCATGGTAGGAGTAAAGGACTTACGAACTGTTTTTCTACGCACAATTCTGGCTTGAGGTGACGGATGTAGATAGCTTCCGCAATAGACAGAAGATGCATCCGGAATCCGTGCGTGAAACATTCAAGAACAGTTTAGATGACTCTAAACTCATTTTCCGTCCCTGTGTGATTGCACTCTAGAAAGTGAGATAAGATGGAACTGTTACTGGACCTCGCTCCACCTTTGTAAAACCACTTTAAGATGTGTTCGCGAATCCTATGAGATAGGCGCCTCGTGGTACGACCCACGTATCGTGCCCCACAGGAGCACGAGTAAAGATAAACAACCATTGATCGAGTCACCGGAGGCAGCCTGTCTTTCAAAGGTTTTGCAGATAAAGGCTTATTGTAAAATACTATGCGTAGGCGAGCCACGAAATAGGTCTTTTCAATAGCGTCTTTCAGGCGTTTGGACAGGGCATCAGCCGCGCTGTCGCTTTTAGTGCACAATTAGTTCTTTTTTGGGTACATTCATCCTCGGTGGTTTTATCTTGCGTTCTTTCAAATGTTTGAGGATGAATTTATCTGGATACCCATTCTCTCTTAGCGCGTCGCCGATTCTTTGCAATTCCTTGGTGATTGTGTCCGGGGTGCAAGTTCTATGTGCCCGGAACGCAAGAGTGCGGACGATGTTTCGTTTGTACTGTATGGGTACCGCACTATAGAAGTTGGTGTACTGTCCAGTCTAAGTTGGTTTTCTATATACCCCTCTGCTGCACGATCCATCGGCGTTTCTGATGATATCAACATCCAGGAACGGTAGTCGGTTTCTGGATTCATGCTCACATGTGAAATGTAGATTCTGATGCGCATCATTAAAAGCTTCCAACAGTTTCACAGTCTGCGCTTCCGATTTGCAGAGTATAAATGTATCGTCTACATAACGTATATACATCTCGACTTCGTTGATGTGCGTTCTTAATACGTTATACTCCAATTTTACCATAAAGGCATCTGCTAGAAAGGACCCCAATGGTGAGCCCATGGCAACTCCATCAATTTGATGATACATCTCCCCGTTAAAGGTGAACTGCACGTTTAAGGTGCATCTGAGCAACAATTCCTTCATGAGGTTTTCCGGGACACTTATAAGTACATTCAGTTGCCGTACTAGTTCGGAGACATATTCTACTGTTTTCAACAACGAAATATTCACAAACAACGACTGCATATCAAATGGCGACATCCATTTGTTGTTAAGGTTCACGTCCCTTATTTTCTCAATGAATTCGAAAGTGTCTTTCACTCAGTAAGTGCAGGTGGTTTTACGCAGCGATTCCAGCTTCTCAACCATCCATTGAGCTATCAAATGTTGCGGAGAGCTAACCATATCCAGTATGGGACGCATTGGAGCGCCCTCCTTGTGTACTTTAGGGAGGCCGTACAACCGTGGTAGATGTCCGCCTGAGGGTCTCAGCTTTTCGAATTCGCACTTTGTGATAACATTCTCTTTCATCGTTCGTCGGAGCAAATCGGTCAGTTGTTTTTCTAACTCTTCTGTATTATCCTTTCCTAATGTTAGCTTTTGAAACTTACTTTCATTACTAAGAATATGTTGCATCTTACTAACATCATCAGTTCTATTCATTAGAACTATACCGGAACCTTTATCTGGCTTAGAGATAATTAACTCTTTGTTTAACCATAACTCTAAGTGACTGCATATGTTCGCTTGTAAGAAAACCACTACTGGCTGGTCTAGCCTTAATGTAATCATGACAGGTGTTTACTAAGCTAGATAATATGTTCTCAACGTCCCCTGGCGAATTTGATGACAGGTCGCGTGCCTGCGCTATTAAGCTCTCAAATTGCACCTCTAATGCAGCCTGATCAACTTTTTTTTACAAAGGATGTAAAACTTAGGGCCTAATGACAACACATTTAGTTGTGTTAGGCTAAGCACGATACTAGAAAGGTTAAACACATACCGCTCCGGGTTACCCGGAAAGTTCAGTTGCGGCACTTGACTATTTAGCGAGCTAAGCAACTTCTTCCTTTTCTGTGCGCCCCTTTGCTTTTTAACCTGTTCTACGTATGCGTATGAACTGAGCAATCAGTCACCGGCTCCCAATGGGCGCGATTCCCTGAATTCGCTCCGCTGCCTTGTGGGCAGGCTATTCAGCCAAAGGCTCGGGGTGGTGTCCCCTAAGTCAACACCCTACTTCGGCTTGGGCAACCGGGTAGTATCTCGCCCTCTGAGGAAACCATGGACATTGTTGTGTTGTGTTTTATTGTACTGTTTCTGTACTTTCGTTTGAGTCCCATGGTTTCTGATGGCATTATGTCTGTTAGCAGACTTTTGCAAATATATATATATATACTTCCGATAAGCCCATGACGGCATGCATTCGTTGTGAGATGAATCTTTCCAGCTCCGATAATTTCGTGCGATTGCTATCCATATAGTTGAGAGTGTGCCGCCTCAAATTGCGCACATTAGGGTACAGACCACATTGGCGTATATCTTTCCAAAAGTGTTTTGGATACCGGCATGACTGTAAGCACTCATTGAAGGATTTCAATTCAACCTCAGCTGTTGATTCACCCCTCCAATCTTACCATGACATTTTCCACTTCGTTTGTTCACGACGTCTACAGAAAATGGCAACTTCATTTTTTTCATTTCCTGCTCAATCCCTGCTACTTGCTGTTGGGTAGCAAAGTGAAGACACTTTTGTACCTTATCCCTGCGCCTCTGCTCTCCTACTTATTCCCTGTATACCCATCGAAAACCACACTACCCTTTACTTTCCTCCGATCCTCATAAACGAAAGTGGTAGATACGCGGATAACTTGATGATAACTCTAACCGACTATGTACAGTACCCATACTCCACATATATTTTCTGCCATTAATCATCTTTATTCCTCGCCAAATTTCTCAAGCTCAACCTGGATATCCTATCCTATAGTCTACACTGGAATCCACTCCGAACATTCGACTTGTGAATGTTTACTCTCGCAAAATGTGATCCTTCACGTTGGCTACGCTACCATTGATGCACTGATGGTTACACATTACCGCCAATGCGTAACCGTCTTTGCCTGAGACTAGAAGCGTATTTCTAAAATTCAATTCTGAGGGCCTACTTAAGTCCTGGATCTCGTCCGCTGTTCGATGTTCTACTTGCCTCATGACATCGGTCAAATCAACCGCGCCAAATGTCGTCAAATATCGTCTGTTTTTGAGGCTTCATGCGCTTTAGATGCCTTACCACAGCTATCTTTTATTAACTGGCTTCTGTGCATCCTAGGAGTTCTCGTTGCTACACTTATCCGACTGCGGTGTTATATACAGTAAAACCTCCGTAAGTTGACCACCAATGGACTGGTTTTGAGGTCTGGTTCCATATGGACGTTTGAACAATGAAGAAAAGAAGATAAAATCAGAGAAGTGGCCAACTTCGGAGGTTTTACTGTATGCTTTCTTTGAGAACAACGTGTGGTGGTGCCATTCAAGACACCCTGTATCTGCTACTTTTGAACGCCCATACCTCAACGACTGTGATCAACAGCTTTCGGTGATCTTTCATACCACTTGTGATTCCACACTGTTAAGGAGTCTGATTGGTACTCGAACCACTTGATTATTTCAGAGGACTGTACTCATGGACAGGCTGGTCAGGCACTTTATTTCCTCCCGTTTCTTCTCTCTTTCCAATTCACATGTAAAAAATCCATAGTTATTGTCACTATCGTCGTTACTATCAGCTTTATGGTCCGAGACAAAGAGCACCGCTCGTCCTCTGGATATCGACAGTTAGTTGTCTTGTCTTGTTCCCTTTCCCACTGGTTTCTGAAGGACGCCGACTAAATATGTCCACATAACATTCTACAGCCGTTTAATTGTGGGCAGAGTTATGCCCGGACATTAATGATTGCACATGTCTTGCAGACGTTGAGAAACAAGCGGAACTTAACCCTTGTCACTTACCACATCTTCCGGAAAGCCAAACCTCCTGAATAACTGTCGCAGTTTGGAAACAGTGGCTTCGGTTGTCGTGAGAAAGCCTTGTTATTTGGATATATGACCAAATTAAATTTCTCATCTGTGACTGTCCTAAAACCTGTGTACGCATGCTTTCGGAGATGCCTTGGAGGCCATAGTGGAT